GTGTTCCTCGTTTATTCTGCCAACCACGGCAGAACGAACGAGGAACACGCTACAAATTATTGCGTAGTTGCCAAGTCTTCAAACATGGCAAATATGAAAAATGAAAAATAGTTTAATATGTACAGAATTTAACAATATTGTATGCATAACTTAATAATACTATCCTATAATAATAATTTTCACAATTGTGATGAAAATTGCGATAAAAATATTAAGTACATTTCCAGTATAATTATACAGCTGACAACAATGATACAATTAGACTGTGAATAGACCAGGCTTCATCTAGAAATGTAAATAAATAAGTCCCCTTTATTTAAATGTCCTTGGAAATTTTACAGCCTCTTGCTGTATGAAATTCCTATATCATCAGCAACCCCTTTGATGGTGATTTTTCTAATTAGCAAGCACAGTTTTTTTTAACTTTTTCCACGTTTTCATCATTGGTGAATATGCTAGGGAGCTAGGGCGCTCAAACCTCGCGCCATCTTCGATGCCTTCTTGGCCTTTTCGAAAACATTCGTTTCACTGATAAACCCATGGCCGTTTTTTACACAAAACTCCTGACAAACTTTCTGATCCGACATTTCGACACACAAAAAAATCGCCAAAAACACTGTGAAGTAAGTCGCCCGTTAAATACAAACTCAGATTAGATGTGGATGTTGTACGGGGCGTTTCTGAAACAAGTGCGTCCTTGAAAGGGGTGACAGAGAGTATACAATTGAGCAACTTTTATTAGGCAACTGATGATGGTCTACATGCTTCTGTTTTCGAGAAAATTAACCATAAATGTAAGCCGACTCTGTGCATCTTGTGCACGTGCAGTATTAATTAGCCGGCGTATAAAACTAACAGTACCGTATACAGGTTCGGAAAGTCCCCATGGTTCATCGGCCGTTGCGTGAGTGCGATAAAGTAAGTCCTAGAAATCCGTGCGATAGAGAAGGATTGCTATAATGAAGGCGTCTTATAGTCACCGCCCGTTTCGCCCTTCCACAAATAAGATCCGCTTCCACTTGTAATTCAGCGGCCGGTGGTCATCTTTGTTTTCGTCGTTTGCCTTTTCTTTGATAGATGTCACTACTTATACAATTGCGACGGTATTCCGATATGTTAATACAATCCGTTAACAGAGGGCAGCACAACGCGTAACAAAGAAAACGTTTTACAGTAGCTAGTAGATACCTCTATTTGTAAATCTAGTGACCTTGTTTCCCCTACTGAGAAGTTACTCAAATGGAGTATAGTGCTCAGCTGCATTTAAAGTTCATTTAGTTGTTATTTAAGTATGCTTTGCCCTCTGTTAACGGATTGTATTAACATATCGGAAAACTGGAGTCGGAATTGTATAAGTAGTGACATCTATTAAAGAAAAGCCAAACGACGAAAACAAAGATGNAACAATTAACAACAAAGTACATACTTAAAGAATATTACCTGCTAACTAATACCGGTTAAACACTTAATTTTCCACTACTTCTATATTTTTCACACTACACTGATCGTCTTACTTTTCACTCCGCGCTGTTCTCACTTCAACTGCCTATCTACAACTATCTAGGCTTCCTTCCAGAATGCCCCACCCAGGCGTTTGCTTTTTTTGCGCTTTCCTCTACCGACCGTTAATATTACTTTTTCATTGTTATACAACACTCATGTAACAGGTGACGTCGAAGTTGATAAGATAAGTACGGTTTTGCACAACATTTATGGAAAACAGTACACATCCGAAAAAGTAGACATTGGAAAGCCTAAAGCAGAGTACATGTGAATATCAATCGAAAAGTAAATTAATTCATTATGATAATAATTGTATTAAATTGAAGAGGTTTACAAAGAAAAATCTACGGACAGGACTAACTGTAATTAATAATTTACATCAACAAAAAATTCAAAGTACTACAAAGTATGTTCGAATAGGTAATTTATTTTTGTTAAGTTCGTGCAAATAATCAGTTTCTATACGTATATTAAAACATATTAACTTTATTTAAAATTGCGATTGAATTATAGTTTATATCCTAAAATTTTCATTTAAGGGCTTTCTGTTGGAACATACAAGGTATAGTCTTTCCGATCTCAATTGAACAACCAAGAGGTTGGCAGTATGTATCAGGTTCGCTCGATGAAGATCACTCGGTATTGAATATTTGAAAAACTTGTTCTTATATTTATTTAGCCATACCCATACACAGGTCTGGTCAAACTAAACGTGGAAGTGGTAGAAATGTATACGCCCAGTTGAAGAACGGGCGCGCAGGCGAACGGCGTATAACACAGCCGAACTGGGCGACTGGGCAATAAATCTCAGCTGTTGACAAGTAGTTGTCAAATTGCCTAGCAGTGCAGTGCAGCAATGCGGAATTTGGTGCGATTCAGGTAATTTTAATTTATTATAGGCACCTTCTATTAATCATTCATATTACAATTGCGAAAGGGAAAAATAAGAGGGATATTTTATTTACTAATATGACATTTTGCAGACCTTTTGAAACGAAATTTATCATTTTGAAGATAACATGTAATGTTTTTATCTCGAATATGGCAATATAACTTACGATAATACTATAATTTAAAAGCAAGGAGTGATAAATTATGTACTCAGGTCAGCATCGCAGCTTTATCAGTAGTAAATATGTCCAACAAAGCGGCACAGAACACATATCATATACCTGATGATGCGATCTATAACGGATCCCATCCAGATTGTGGAATCGACGGCAACGACGCGTAAAATAATTTATGTGTTTTACAATGATACAATGCCATAAATATTATACCTAATTATTGTCCACTTTATTTTCTGTTGATCATCCGCACCGTACGCCTTAGGTGCGCGGCCAATTATGACAGCTCTATTTATGAGATAGAATTTATTTTGTAATCTAGAGAGAGGAGCAAAGATTTGTAAATCAATGTAACTTTTTTATAATGCTATTTTATCTACAGGAAAAAATAAACTGTCTCTGTTTATTTTACTCTGCAATAAAATTAATAAAATTACCTGTTGCGGGTTCACATCATGTTCTTTTTGTTTGCAATTTGTTCATTAACAAGTGAAGTTTGATAGTTTTCTCATTTTAATAAGATTAAAAGCATTTGAATGAAAAAACAAAAGTATTTTTTGTAAGTATAACACCAAATAGTTTGTATTAAAGTTTAACATCAACAGTTCACGTTAATCAATTTCAAAAATGATTCCATTCAACTGCATTTAACCCCTTCAACCACTCCACTGAGATTTAGGGACTTTAAGTTGATAGTATCAACCATGCAATCATGTTGGTTGCCTATGCTTGACGATCACGTGGCTTGTATTCATTTATGAAGGTTCCGTATAAGTAAGAACAGACATTTCTCCGTAAGTGTATCTAGAAACCAAAATAAAACATCGAAACCTAGACTACGGAGCGAATCATACGTGGAAGCGTCGGGAGTCACAAAACCGTCACGCCATTGTTGCGGCTTGGTTGCGGAGCACCGTATTAAATATTGATAGCTTGTATTCAGCAATATAACGCGACAACGCGTATTCCCGTTGTCACAGCCCACCGAGAGCTCGAGTTTCCTTTAAATTTCATCGGAAAAATAAGTATATACCGCATTTCTAGCAAGATTTATTGGGTACGCTCGCAGCAGACAATGTGGAGACTCGAGGATAGGAGTTGTGTAATCATTTTCACAAGTGCCGCAGAATGTACATACGTGTGTAGGAGCTAGTTTTATTTTACTTCCATATTTCATCGCAATTTAAGTATATGCAGTTATACAACGTAAGAATATTAAACGTACTAACAAACGTCGAAAATAGAAATAGTTTTTTCCTTGCAGAAATAGAGAAAAAGGAAAAATTAGGAAAAAATTGAACTTTCCTTATAATCCAGGATAAAACGCCTAACCACTATGTTTACCAATGTAAATACACATAGGCTAAATCTGTGGACTACCATAAAAACACGTGCCATACACTCGACCAAGCAAAGCGTAAAATTCACTCACACAAGCACAAACGACAATGAAATGCACTAACGTCCCTCAGCAAAAAACCTCAGCCGAAAGGGCAGGAATCAGGGTGCCGCTAGATACGTATCGAATAAACTGATCGATGCGAAGCATTAGATCAGAGGCAGATATGTACATATACTAGGTTGGTTTTCAAGAGCTACTGCGAATCTGTCATAAATAGAGCCAATTTAACAGACGAGTCCAGAGCTTTTTTACAAGGAAATAACAATGGCGCAAACCGCATCTCTCTATCTGTTACCGTTTTCGAACTACAGGGCTGAACCGAGGGCTTTCTCGTGTCCCTTTCAAGATTAAAACGTTTGAACTTTCTACGGGCACTTTTTTGAGATACATTCGATGGCATAAAAATAAATGTGATATTTTTAGTTTTTTTGATTGACCACAACTTGTGTTTTTTATATAGAACACCCTGTATTTTATTTCAAAAACGGAAAGAGGGCTAAAAATGTATTCCAAAATTGTATACTTCACTTATTTTTTGTGTAGATTTGCGGAAAATATAAAACTCGTTTCTTTTTCTGTATTTTATGTTAAAATTTGACAAAAAACCGTTTCAAATACATTTTTTTGTTAGTTGCAGTGAATTGTTATTTTATTGCTTTTACGAGTAGTTTAAAATGAAATGTTACGTTTATATTTTGTTAATTTGTACTCGATTGAGATTTGAGGACCTCGATTCCGAATATACAGGGTAGTGCCTAAATAATGGGGCACAACGCAAGAGTTGATCTTTCCAAAATACTACACTATTACAGGTAAAAGTACTTACCCTAACGATGATGAACGTTCTGGAAAAAAAATAAAATAAATTAATAAGGCATATTCTAAGGTACCGTCATATATACAGCGTGTTTTCTAAATCTGTTATAGCTTTATGAGGTTGTTTGTTGGGTCTAAAACTACTGATTTTTGAGAAGCAGGGTGTTAAATTTAGCAAATATATCTCTGAAATTATCTCCTAACATCCCTTGCAACAGACTAACAAATTTGTATAACTATAACAAAACAATAACAAAAGTTTCATTAATCTAAATCAAACATCTTCCGAGAAATTACGTTTTAGATAGTAATTTTACATTTTTTTGATTTAAAATTATTCGAGGAACAATTTTCTGAAGTTATGACATGGTCTTAACAAACACGCTGTATATAAGCGGCGCATATATAATGTAAAAAAGTTATAAACATTTTTCAACAATTCAATGATATTGTATAACACATTACTTAGAGATATATTTATTTTGATCACTTAGAAGTATTTTGACCTTTTAAAAATTGATTTCCCAGAACACCTTTGATAAATCTGAAATCAAGATGATATTTTATTATAAAACTAGGACCGGAAATGCCAGAACTGATAAGAGGGATCATAAAAAATGAAAAACCGGTACCATCATTTTTGTTTAAATCTTAATTCAAACGCAAACAAATGATAATGACGATTATCTAAGGTAAATAGATGATAAACACATGATAATTTAAAAGGAAGTGATTATAAAAGAAGTTTACAAAAAAATAAATTGAGTCGCGTTAGTTTCAAAATAAAGGATTATATACAGGATGTTTTGTGTGTACAAATTTATTCATAGAAACCAGTTTCCATAATTTATAAAAATGACGTGAATCTATATGAATTTTTTTTATAACAAAAGTAGAGTCGGTTTATATTAAGTAATAATTATGTTATTATTATGTATAACGTTCATAGTTCAAAAGTAGTAAAGAATTCCCTGACTTTTCCAGGTTTTCCGACTTATAACAAAAATCCAGGTCACTTGTAGTTGATTTTTACATACTAATTGGTGTTTATGCATTAAATTTTTCCTCGACTGACTCCATAATCTTTTTTATACCCTAACACCTTCTTATCAAGGTTCCAAAACCAAAAATAGTTTTCTCTTTCAAGAACCCAGGGCCGGCTTTCACGAAATTTCCAGTTGCAAACATCAAATTCCCTGACTTTCATGAATATTTTTAAAATTCCCTGACTATTCCCTGTTTTTTTATGAAGAATAGCAAATTCCTTGACTTTTCCCGGCCGCTACGAACCCAAATTTACAATACACTGAAGACAAATTTTTCGAGACAAAACGTCTGAATCTGGTTCGGGCCGAGGCAGTACAGTATTGGGGGTCATGAAGGCTTGCAAAAAATGTAATAAAATTCCGAGGGTCGTATTTAAAAAAACGAAGTTGATGATGGTCCTGGAGAGACGAAAGGCTACATACAAAAATTGATTATGCCATTCGATAAAGGGCAAAAAGTGGTAATGAGAAAGTGTTTTCGTTTTTCAATATCACCTGAAACAAGGCTGAAATGAAACAAAAACGGATTTCCAAAATTTTATTTTTATTTCAAATATTTCGCGAATTTGTAACAGCCTGTATAGGACGTGACATTATTCTTCAAATTCATATTTTTTTTATTGAAATTGTCCTTGTTTCCAATTTGTTTAATCTAAATCCTCACAAGAGCATCTTCATAGTCAGAAATTTATCATTTTTATTATTCTAATAAAAAATACATAAAACTGGAAAACAAGTGTCTTTAAATTTTCTAAACTTATTAATTTTCACAACTGTTCACCTTTGGATTTGGAAAAAAATACAGTTAATTAGCTGTTCTACACTTAAGTCACGTGATTCAACTTACACTGTTGCCAAATTGTGATAAAATTCCCCAGTACCACTAAAGTCGACGCATTTTAAAAATGTTACTTACGCCCACGAATTTTACAACTTTTTTGTTAATTCATACTTAATTTATTTTATACCAAAACAATGGCATCTAAACTTCTAACATACTGTCTATTACCCACCACTGTGAAAACATTTTAAACATGTCTTTTTTTTTATTCCGCACTTTAACAACACTTGAGAACAAGTTCTAAGGCGACAAATCCCCTAAAAGTAAGACATCGCCGGCTTATTTGACCCCGAAAAAGGTTGACTTCGCCGCGCGACATCCCTCGCAGATGAAATTAGCTTTTAAAAGGTTAATTGGTTGATAAATAAATTTAATGGGATTGCCGGAATGAATTTTGCAATTTTGTCGACGCCGCGTTAAAGCCAAAAGCGCAAGGGCGTGATTACCATCAAACGCAATCAGGGTTGAGAGTGGGGGGGGAAGGGAGGGTTGTGGACGCTGACTTCATTATCTCAGTTGGCTTGGCGCTTCGCGGCCACCACCTGACATCAGCCAGCGCCAGCGATGCAGATGAATTTAAAAATATCCTATAGGGCGATATGTATGTAATTCATACAACGGGATTTAATTTTACTGGAAATATACAGGGTGGCGTCTTGAAATTAGATATTGGTTTGAGCTCGGTTTGCGATTTTGGCTTTATCTCATTTATTTGTTGAAAAACGTTGTTCTTTGAGTATGCTTTTGAGTTTGGGAAATAGGAAAAGTCACAGGAGGCCATGTACGTAGAGCAGAGTAACTGCGGCATCGCAATGGTGCTTTGCCGTGGTGCAAAATCCACGGGTTATCTCCAGAGTTGGAAATTTTCAAGGACATTTAAATAAAGGGGACTATGCATGTCACAGTCTATCTCATATGTTGGGTGAAGCTAGACAAGGGGAAAGCAGAGGGCTTTATTTTCATCCAACTGATGCGCGCGATTACATCTCCAATGTCGTACATTTTGGATGGGTCAAAATAAAATATTTTATAGTCCTAAGTCAATATATTTCAACAGCTACTCAGTATTTTTATAATAAATATATATAATATTTTTATAACTTCTTGGAATCCCAATAACTGTAACCATTTCTTTCTTGTTGCACCATCCCCAAGCATCCTAAAAACGTTCACATTTCACTTTTAGAATACTGAGGCAAATTTTCAGTGAGACATAAAAATATATTCCCAAAGGAGAACATCAAATGGTTGAATGAATGCAACTTTCAGTTGATTGCATCTTCGGTATTTTTATGTATAAGTGAACCACCACCATATTTTTGCTGTTGTATTTATTCAGTTTTTATGCTCGTGCATTTAGTAAAATTGTAAATATATTTTTGAAAAGGTTTTTGTCGTAGAGGAAAATGAAAATGATGAATGATTAAAATTTGTAATGTTGGGTATAAGGGATAACATTGAAATACCTATAAATATATTAAATATAAATAATGTCTGTAACTTATTTGTGGTGCAGCATTTTCCTTTGATTTTAATGGCCAAACGTGGTTCATATTATTGTTTTCTTACTATTTCAGCAAAAATTTTAAAAAAATACCAAGTCAGTTTTATAAAATTTTACCGTTATTCAAATAAAAGTTACCCACACGCACGACAATGGCCACAGTTGCATATACATTCCAAAGTCACCTTCAAGCACGCTTACCTGTGGAAGGATAGCTGATGTGGATGTTTATAATCCAATTTCTTACAAATTCTGCACTGTCTAACCATATTCACACCTTAAAAGTTTATCCAAAATACATGTATAAACACTAATCACGTTTCACTTACTAAAATCACAACTATTTTCTAACAAGAGACGCCATATTCTGCCAACCACGGCAGAACGAACGAGGAACACGCTACAAATTATTGCGTAGTTGCCAAGTCTTCAAACATGGCAAATATGAAAAATGAAAAATAGTTTAATATGTACAGAATTTAACAATATTGTATGCATAACTTAATAATACTATCCTATAATAATAATTTTCACAATTGTGATGAAAATTGCGATAAAAATATTAAGTACATTTCCAGTATAATTATACAGCTGACAACAATGATACAATTAGACTGTGAATAGACCAGGCTTCATCTAGAAATGTAAATAAATAAGTCCCCTTTATTTAAATGTCCTTG